GCTGCTTCTCTGGCCATGCTGAGGGCGTGTCCCACATACAGCAACTAGAAGGATGTGCAGCTATGACACACAGCTATCTACTGGGGCTTTGGGGGGAAAAAATAAATAAATAAAATCTTAAAAGAAAAAAAAAAAGAAATGTGTGCATAGAAAACTAGGTAAGAGAGTGTAGATGGCATAGTATAATTTATTAACTGTATCAGAAAGATAAACAGCACGTATTTGCAAAGTTAAGTGTTGTAATCTTCATGCTGAAAAAAAATCCAGAAAGATCGCGAGCTCTGTTTATTTGGGGTTATTTTTGATGTTATAGTAAAATGTTTGGACAGATTTGAAAGATTTAACTGATAGGCAGTGAAAGTTACATTGAGTATGAGGGATGGATGCTTTGGCTGAAATTCTTGTTCTTCCTCTTTCTCTTCCCCTCCTCCTTTCTCCTCTTCCTTTTCCCCTCTTTCTACTTTCCCCTCTGCCTCTCTCCCTTTCTCTTTCTCTTTCTGTGCAGTTAAGCACAACCTTATCCAGCGTTTTCTAAAACCTGTAAACCTACCCCAGCATCTTATAGATAACTCTGTAATACAGCGGGTGGATAGATTAAAAACCCTTCTTTAACTCTGCATTTTACTACAATTATTACTTTTCTTTCTTCCCTTCATAGCCAAAATATTGAACCCTATTCAAAGTCATTGTACCATTTTCTTACCAGTACCCTCCAGTCAGGATCACTTGACAGTTCTTTTATGTGGTCATTCATCCTCTCATAGTCCCCTCAGTAGTATTCCTCAACTTTACATCTTTCCTCAAGTCATATATTCCACTTTTCCTCCTCTTTTTTCTTTGCAGTTGGCCTTATCTCCTATTTCTTTGTGAGTATCAGAGCTATCAATTATAAATTATTTCAGCTTGCTACCTCTAGACCAAATGTATTTCTTTAAATCTGCAAAAACCCTAATTTATTTTCCTTCTGTCCTAAAAGTTATCACTTTTCATAACCAAGGTTATTTCTTATGCTTTTGTTACTATCCCCTTCTACCTCCTCTAAGATTGATAACCTGTTCCTTCTTTCCCTTCTGTGTTTTCAGCTTCTGTCTTTCTCTTATTTCTGTACTTCTTTCCTCTTGCACATCCCTCACAACTGTCCTGTTTAGAATATATAGCCAGTTCTCCCTCAATCCAACATCTTCTGTTGTCTGTGGTTCTCTTTCTCCTTCGTTGTCACATTCTTTGAAAGTAAGAATAGACTATAGCCAGAATTTCCAATCTCCTCTCCCCTTTCTCTTTTACCCACTGTAAATAAGCTCACAATGTACACTTCACTGAACTTTCTTTGGCAAAAGTTACCAGTGAATTCTTAATTATCAGATTTCCTTTCTGCTTTCTTACCTTCCATCCTCGTTTTCTTTTTTAAAAATATATTACTTTTCCTTATGACAATACATAGTTGAAACTGTTACACAGTGTAGGAGGGCTTACATAGTGTAGAAGTAATCCACAGTGATGTTTGTCATTTCGCCTGTTTCCTTTTAGAACAGTGAGTGAGGAACAGTTTGCTTTGATGAGAGACACACCTCCCTTCCCCAGTGCCAGAATGTGGGAGGCTTTACATTGGAACACAGACACCCACACCAGCCTCTTTAGTTCTCTCCAGATACTTTCTTCAGTTTCTTTTGAGAATAAATTTTACCTGCCACCAGACTTTTAGCTGGCTGGGTCAGGAGGACAGTCTGTACTGTGATTAACTAAAGGTCAATATATTTGTTTTCTGGTATACTTACTGCCTGTCATTGATCTCTCTCTGACTCTGGGGCCTTTCTAAGGTTCTGATAGGCAAGTGAAAACTGTCTGCTGTAACTGTGGCTCCCTTCGTTTGTGGTTTAGGCTGCTGCTTCCTCCACCTTGCTTAATCAGTCCTCTTCCACCCCTTTCTGTTTTCCAGAAATTGCTTGAAATCTCTCTTAGTCTCTTATTTTCTTGTTTATTACGGATTTACACCTTTTAAAGATTCTCACTGTCATCTTATTTGAGTCATGGGAAGGGTGGAGGTATGTGTCAAAGATCTCAAACATAAATGCCTATGTGAGCTTAGCTCATAAAATAAATGAAGAAGGCCAAGTGAAAGCTGGAAAAGTGAAACCTGGAGAAAGCATTCCTCATCTAGAGGGGAGCAGAGTCTGCTCAGCCTCACCCTGTTGTTGCCACATGTAGGAATGGGGGCCCAGTGTTGCTAATTCCTTCAATTTATCAATTTTGTGTGAAGTCTTTTGCTTCGGAAAATGTTGGGAAGTATTAAAAATATATATTTTTGGGCCGGCCCTGTGGCTTAGCAGTTAAGTGCACGCGCTCTGCTGCTCGCAGCCCGGGCTCGGATCCTGGGCGCGCACCGACACACCGCTTCTCCAGCCATGCTGAGGCCGCGTCCCACATACAGCAACTAGAAGGATGTGCAGCTATGACATACAACTATCTACTGGGGCTTT